GGGCGTGGCTGCGAAGGAATGGGGGTGGGACAGCAGGTGCGTGACACCCCCCACAGTATGAAGGCGGGGGAGCGGCATTGACACGGGCAGCCCAGCCTACCAGAGGGCAGGGTGAGCTCCATGGTCTCGTCGTCGTACTCCAGGTTCTTCTCGTCCGGCAGCTCCGCCTCCCCCATGTCCACCTCCTCGCCGTCACTGTGGTTCGGGTAGCTGCTCCTGCAAGACGGCAGCCGCGGGTGCGTTCAGGACGACAGACACAAACCGTCTACCCCACTTATCGAAAGACGCCATTCACTTTCCTGCTGGGCTGTTTCACCAGCAACTGAAAATCCACATCACTGTGTACACATCTCTCTCTCTCTCTCTCTCACAGACACACTCTGAGAATGTAACATCAGACAATAGGCACTGAGCTACAGTAATCCATCAAATAAAAATAAGCTAATTAATAACAGGCACCCCTTTAATTATTAAATCCAATGGTGATGGTGAGAGCAGGTCAGCAGGAGGTGAGCGCTCCCTCCATCCAAACACTCGCCAACGTCGGCTGGGGAGGGAGGGGAGGACGCTCTATTGTCTCACCATAAGCCCAGCAAACACACCCCCCCCCCCCCCCCCACCAGCCTGGATGCAAAATGCAGTGTTAGAATTCGCACCCAATTAAATAAATATCTGGGCGTTGGTGCCAATGCGTCACGTTTCCAAAATGCGCACAAGAACTTCCTATTGTCTCTCTGTAATGAGAGTTTGTGATGGTAGTTTAGCCCAGGAAGATGACGATTGGACAGCCAGGGCGGGTGAGAATGGGGGGGGGGAGCAGACAGGCCACCTGAAGTCGTAGAAGTCGGCGAATTCGAGGGCGGCGTCGCCCTCCGTGTACAGCTTGCAGTGGCTCTTGTCGGTCATGTGACTGCGCACGGCTTCCGTCGAGTAGAAGGAGCGGCCTTTCTCATTGCACCACAGGCAGACATTCCCCACACCAACCTTCTCCCCTGTGGACACAAATCGGGGGCTTAGGGGCAGCGGGGAGGAGTCAGCTAGTTGTCATGCCCCCACCGACTGGAAATCCAACTCTAGGGTCCAGTCAATGCGCTGAAATGAGAAGGCCTAACAGTCAATGCGCTGAAATGAGAAGGCCTAACAGTCAATGACAGACACTGGGGTGACACTGCCAGTTCACAGTGGACAGCTCTCAAAGTAGCAGATTGCATCCATCCACCCACTTGCATGCTGCTTGTCCTACCCAGGGTTGCGGGGAGGTTCGGAGCCTTATCCCAGAAGCTAGGGGCGCAAGACAGGGAATAACCCAGTATGGGGCGCCAACCCATTGCAGGTGTGAGGGAGCAGTGCTCAGGAACCCAAAGAAATTCCTCATATATTAATATCATGGCACTCATCGGCAACCCAGATTAGGCGACGGACGTTGTTGTAACGGTCACAAGAACAACTTCATAAATAAAGACGCGCCGTCACTTTAAGAAGGCCAAAGCCGCCACATTCCGAGGGGGATCACAGCGGCAGCGGAGGAGCCGCAACGGCGCCATCTGCTGCGAGAAGGCGGATCCCCGCCAGACGCGGGCGCTAGCTGGCTAAGGCAGGCCTGGCAGAGCACCACGGCTTGACGGCGCGGACGGCTCGGCCAAACCCGTCAAACGCCAAAAACATTCGCAGATAAAGCTTTTGTCTTACATGTTATTTTTAGCAGTTTATAAAGGCCTGCAACCAAGCAGGCAGACGGTTGGTCTTGAGCCTCCAGAAGGTTCCACTCCTTCGTAGACCTACCGCAGAAGGCTGTTTCCTCGCAGCGGTGTGCCAGTCCCATTCTGGACACACTTCTAACATTGAATAACACCTGCAAATCGGTTTCCCCCCCCCCCATATGTTTATGATCTATGCTTGACAGTGTAATGCCTATTGTCTTTGTTAAACGTTCTGGGGAAACCACAATGGCAAGAGGGACAACATAAAAATAAATTATTGAACATTATGGAAGTAAACAGAATGGATATTGACGAATTCATAAAATGCCAGCGTCTGTCAGCGAAAGAGGGCCATCTAACCATATTCTCCTATAAATAACGTGAGCTTTAGGTTTCCTTCCTGCGCGGAGCGGGTGACTCATCATCCTGTGGTATGACAGAGCTCTGTTTTAGTGTTAATTGTAAGGTCAGTGCATTTCCTGGCTGGATTTAAATGCCCTTGAATTGTAAAGAATCTCATTATCTTTGATGCTCCTCAGATTCATTTTTTCCACGGAAGCCCCTAAGGTTTTAATTTTAATAGTTCCGCTCTACTGGCTGGCCATTACATGCATCTGTGACAGACATAATGTTAGAAGTTCCTTCAGACACGGGAGAGAGAAAATTTTAAATGCGGACGACAAAGGTTAGAGGCACACGGGGACACCGGTCATAACCGGGGGGGGGGAGGGAGACGGGACCCTCCCCAGAGGGTATATGATTAATGATGCAGTAGGAACACAGGGCATTAAGGGGGGGGGGCGCAGCATGCCATGTAGTTTAATGCCCAGATGGGACCCTCAACACCACCATGAATACATATGTATTTATGAACATACATATTTCATATTACTAACATTTCCTAACAATGATTCATAGAACGACAGATCTTTATTCCATAGGGAAAATCACAACACAGCAAATACTATATAAAATGTCTGAGGTTCTGCTTGGATCCTTCCCAGAAATCACAGCGAAATCCTTCCCAGTCACCATCTGCACACATTTAGGTAATAAATGCCGTGTTTAGTTTTTGCCCGTCACCTCCGCTCAAAAGCCGCGCCCCCAGAACCACCGGCAGATGTAGGATCCCTTAAAGTGCATTCGGAGATGACCGAGTTTCAATTGGTCAGACGTTGACCAGACTATATGCACCACCCAAAAAAAAAATTATTATATTTACCATCCCCCGAGGCAATGACAGGGAAGCGAAAATGCAATACCATGTTACAGGGAAGAAACAGACAGCTGAAGGATTGACATAATTTGCAAGTCACTCAGCTCAGAATACAGATATGGAAGATTCCAAGAAAGCAAAACGTCAACGCGCAGAAAAAGACGACACAAACTTATCTTTGCCTCCAAAACAACAGTAACATTCATTGGTAAGTCCCTGCATCACGCGTCCTTAAGACATACTGGTCAATACAGAGAAGGAAAAGTGAGCAGGGCTTCGAAACAGCCAAGCAACAGCGGCGGCCATCGTGATGGAGTGAGAGGCGATACTCACCCAGGTACCGAATCAGCCCCCTCAGGTCCGCCAGGTACTCCACATCGGGGATGAAGAAACTGTGCACTTTGGTCATGTGATCCACGTTCTTCAGGAGGGTGCGCGAGTGGTGCGCGCAGAAGAGGCAGTCCGTGGCGGGGATGACCCCAGGCGGCAGCTCGGAGGAGACCCCCGACGCCGTCGACCCGGCCTCGTCTGTCACCTCTTCCTCACCCTCACCCCACTCCATGTCATCGTCGTCATCATCATCATCATCATCATCCATATCCTCCCAGTTCTCTGCAGGGATCAACAAAACCTTGAGTCCCAGCCTTAAACCAATAAACATAACCGATTCTAATAACAGATAATACCAACAACGCTACTCCTAGCAGGTATGCTAAAGGCATCCAAACAATTGGAAACAGGGATCCATCGTCACAAATTATTTATTAACTCTTCTTGAAATGTATGTATTATATGCGCGAGAAATTCAAGTGTTGCCTGAAACAACCCAGAACTAAAGCTAAAAAGTGTGAAAAGGCATGTGGGGGGAAAGTCCTTCGAACAATTATAACAGAGAAATTTGATACTCAGTCTTACTTTGTAAGGCATCCTTCCCAACATAGTTGCCCTAAAGCTCTTCACTTATACAAACACAGCACAGTGAAGCAGAAAAAAAAAATCAGAAAACATGAGAATAATAATGCCCTTAGGCGGGTAAATACAGGATAAAACCCTCTATAGCAGTGTCTCCCAGCCCAGTGCACAGGGACCCCACATTTTTGCTCCCACCCAACTCCTGGTACTCTTGTGTTCCTGATTGGCTGAAAGCGGTGAGGAAGCAAAAACGTGGACTGTCTGGGGAGGGTTCTCCGGAGGACTGGGCTGAGAAACATCGCTCCAGAAGTCCAAGGTTAGCTGGTTTCCCCACCCCACCAGAACTTCTATCATCAGGTACGCAGGTGTTCAGCTGGTCTCTTTATGGACCAAAGGGATCAGTCTTCTTGACCAAGGCTCACCATGCTGATGCCAATTTCAAAACTGTCCAAATACCATCCACAGTTCCACACGTCGAGCATACCTTCTTCTGCAGCTGCACCATCCTCCTCAGCACTTATCTTCCTGGCCTGCTCCTCAAACCACTGCAACCTGGGCGGCTTCTCTGGTCGCTGTCTGGTCTGGCCCTCCTGCCCCGAGGCCTGGACTTTGGCAGCCTTGGCCGGCGAAGCCTTCTGCTGCTCCCGCAGGGCCTGCTGGAGGGCCTCGTTGCGGGCATTGTTGTCCAGCAGCTCTGCCTCCAAGCCCTTCTCCAAGTTCTTCTCGTTCATCATCTCCACCTTCTTCTGGGCAGCCGCCAGGGTCCGTTTCTCCGCCTCCTGGTGCTTGCGGGACTGAAGGTGATTCTGGAAGGCATTTTCGCTGGAGAATTTCTTGCCGCAGGTGGCACAGGCCACATCGCCACCCTGCGCCTGTTCCTCAGCCACCGCCCGCTGTGCCAGCACCCTCTCCTGGAAGTTTTCTGCCGTCACGGGGGGCATGTCGGCCACCTTCCGCTTCAGGTTGTAGCGGTGCCAGTCTGTCTTGTAGTGTGCCCGCTGCACCTCACCATCTGCAAAGGCCACCCTGCAGCTGATGCAGGTGTACGATGACATGTCTGAGGATAGAGAAACAGGCAACACTGGTATAAGCCACTATGATACAAGCCACTCTTGTCACAGCCATTCAGTGTGAAGTATTGATAATTAGGGTAGCAAAGGGGCAGAGAATTTCTAGTAAATTCCCATGGAAACTTTCCATGGGAAGTTAAGCTGGGGAATTTTGGAAATATTGAACTCCATGGAACTGCAAAAGAAAGCAAAGAAAGCAAACCATATGAATAATGCAACATAGAATATGACTTATAAGGAGTGCATTTTGATGCAGATCCTTATCCTGGGATGTTTTTACATACAAGTAATTAGTCACAAGCATTTGGTTACACAATGATATGACTACCAGCGAGTTCAAAATGTACCCCCCCCTCCCCCAAGTACAATTAAATTCCCTGTTATAGGCTAAGCTGCAGTTTTGCAAATTTCCAGTTTATTCCCATTGATTCCCAAAGATTTTGCAACCCTGCTGGTAATTAGTTTCAAAAATGACAGTAAAAATGTTCTGATACGCACACAAAGTTTGCTTGGCTAACGGCGAAAGTTAAGTTTCGACCTACGCCTAAATGGACTCCATGTTGCTGCGGAGTAGGTGTATTTAAGCAAAGCTATACCTTACAGTGTTTAGGCGGGTGACGATTGCGGGCCATTTTTATACTGTATCTAAACTCTTAGTTAAATGTTAAATATCACTCAATCAAGCTAACTAACAAGTTGACGTGGTTTGACACAACAATGAAGTAATGTAAAAATCCTTTTTAATTAAAGGCATCTTAATCGATGTTTCAGCCTCACGTTTTTTTCAGAATTTCAACACGTGACAAAACATAAAGCCAGCACTACTGATTAGCACATTAGCTACAGGGCGCTAACTAAATATTCAAAATAAAAATACACAGAACACCAAAACAGATATTCCACTTTCAAAAACTAATTAATCAACGATTTAACAAGACAACCATCTGTCATGTCACACTGACCGGCGCAGCCAGCGAAATGCATATAAAACGAGTTCAAACTAAATGACTATCAAGTATGCCACACTTACCGAAATAATCCCAGTATCTACTCTTCTTTTAGAATTTATCTAAACTAGGAAAACCAATATATTATCACTCTAAGTCGACTCGCATCCAGCAAAATAAGCACTAGAAAGCCCCCTTACCTTTCAATTTTAAAGTGTGGTATGTTAAAATAAACACCCCAAATGCGTGTAACGACTGTAAATAACAAACTGATTCAGGATCAGTTTATAGTGACAGCGCTACCCACCACAGTACACCGTCTTCCGGTTGCATGTTGAACTTTCGTCGCTCTTGTTGCACTGCCCCCTGGCGACTTGGATGGTTCACAACAACCCATGCCTTTTGCACAGACTAAAATTGCAGGTATATCAGCACGTAATATTCAACGCTGTGTTGTTCAACGTTAGTTCCTTTTCCGTAAATTACGGTACTATCTCAAATATTTTCTGAACTCTTTTGGAGACGATATCGGTTCAACATCCACTGTTTGAAGTTTAATGCTGCCATCTACTGGCCAAATTGTGTCATTAAATAAATTTAACAATATCAGTCATGTACGGAAGAGGCGCTCTTTTCTACTCCCGGAGAGCTACTACCCTGCATAGCTTAGGTACAGTCCTAATTAAACACATCTAATGTAGGTAATCAGATTCTTCAGGTCCTGTGTTAACATTGCTGGCTCTAATACTGAGCTGCTACTGAAGGGCATGATTATCTGTATCGGGTGAGTTAGCCTATAACAGTGCTGAATGGGGTCAGTTCCATGCTCGCTAGAAAGCAAATTAACAATGCATTTCATGCTCCTTAGTAATGGAATGGAGTTCCCCCAATCTCACGTATACATGAACTCAGAAGCTACAGGAAATGTGTAGATGCCAGACAGTATGTCTTTTAGAGTGTCAACCTGTCCTAACACTGAAAAAGGTGTCCGTAGCAAGACCTGTTTGTATACCACGGGCTACGATAAGCTACGTTTTTAAATACCATATCCGTGTAAAAAAAAAAAATCAAAGATGAAAATGTCTGTCAGAATGCGCCATGGCGTTGAGCCCTGTTTGGAGTCCCTGAAGAAAACTCACAAGGTACAAGGAGAACATATGAACTCCAGATACACGGATACGTGTGTGTAAAACGCAGCTTTACATCGAAATGAGGTTACGCTGATTTTCAGAATGAATGGAATAGCATAAAGGGAGAGATATGGAAGTTGTGTGAAGAAAAAATATGTGCACAGAAGTTGTTGAGCTTGATACAGGGATATTTCATGTATAGCATATTACCAAAAAATTGCATAGTATTTAAAGTTAAAGTTAAAGCATATAAAAGAGAAATTTTATGTGGAATTTTATCTTATGATGGGATTTACTGGATCCACTCTGCATAAACCAAGAAGCCTAATCAATCCTGTCCCCTTCCTTTGCCCCTTTTCTCAGTGTCACAGAGCCTTACCCAGAATGCATTGCAATCAGAAGCACCTTTGGCCCACAGTAAGTTTATGTTCACCAGATCCATCTTTCTTCCTGGAAAACCAAAAGGGACACATCACCGTAGCCTCTGATTGGCCAGCTGGAAATCCAGGGCTGATGATTGGCTCTGCAGGACATCTGGGCTGACCACACACAGGGTTTGCCATGCACTGTAATGGCTGTCTCTGGATCTGTTTATACTCGGTTGTAAAATGCATCTTGGGTGATCAGATCAGAAGTGGACAGCTGCAACACATCCCTCTTCACACCTGTGTCTGTCATGCGTTTTGACCTCTTGTGTTCAGAATTTGTTACCCCCCTGTATTACTTCCACTAGAAGGTCAAATGGCCCCACGCCATGTTACTGTGGCATCCTTGTCAGGGACACACCAGGACACATTAATGTTTACACTACAAAAGAAATGTAGTCAAATATGTCCCAGTCCACCTTGCCAAGTGGTTTGAGTGATCGGATCACAATGCATCTTGGGGGTTGTCTACACTTGTATTTGGCGCTGTGTTCTTGCGATCCGATCACCCAAGACGCATTTTAAAACCAGGTTCAAACAGCGCCTCAGCGTCTAGCATGTTTATAGTAGGACACGTACTGTAACTGGTACTGTCGGTCACTCTCTGCATGGGTTTCAACAGAATGAAACTGGTTCCACTGTCAACATCTGAATGTAAATGTTTCCTTTTAAACATTGTTCACATAAAAACTTCCATCTGCACCGTAACGTATCACTGTTAGGCTTTCTGACTTGAAAAAAAACTGTCTCTCAGGTGACATAATAAAACAGTAAATACTCAGTCTTGGTCGTTCTCATTTTAGCAAAGCCGTCGCACGATTGGACTGTATGTTTGCTCTTGTGGTCCCAGTCATCAAACATGCTTCAATTTTCACTTCCTCTTCGAAGACATCAAACCTAAAGAAGTTTACACACTGCTCATTTTTTTTGCACATTTCAAGACTGAGGAAGAAAAAAGACTAACTTAATTACGCAGGCGTGTGAGATGCCTTGTCTCAACTGTAGACACCATTACGTTTAAAATGACACCAGGTGCTGTATATGGCTGTATTACTGTGCGGCAAACTGTCACACGTGAGGATGACATATGGCAAAGTAGAAAATATAATGAATAAATCACATATCAAAATCAGCAACGACTATGTTATGCATAACACGTTGTCAGGGGGAGTTTTGTAAATTGGTAACTGTGAAAAAAGATCAAATTTGAGGATCATCTAGTAAGTTCTGATGTAGTAGGTTTCAGCTGGGGGACAATACGTAAAATTATTGTGTGATATTGGTCAGAATTATACCTATCAGTCAGTTTGGCCAGCAGTCTGTCCCAAAGAAAATGCCAGTCTGCCAGACCCCCCCCACTATAGACCCCCATACTAATGACGTAGTAATGCCACTTAGCTCGCCTGCTTGTCTTAGGACTGTGGAAGGTCACCCACATGGCACGGGAGGAACATGCAGACACAGAGCGGAGGCGGGATTTGAAGGACTAAACCTCTGAGGTGCGTCTGAGCTGAGTCACTGCACCATCCTGCACAAAACAGCTTTAGTGCACCTCATAATCATATTTTTGTTGTACTTGTATAACCCTCTGGGTGACAATACCCCCTAAATGACTTAATACAACTTTATAGGCACTGTACGGACGAGAGTATCGGGATGCCTGCCAATCACACCTACAGAAACTTTCATGACATCCCATCCATAGGCATCAATATGGAGTCGGTCATCGATCAGACTGCCAGATGTCACTCCACAGAACACGTTTCCACTGCTCCACAGTCCAATGGCAGTGTGCTTTACACCACTGCATCCAACATTTCGCATTGCGTCGGTGATGTGAGGCTTGCATGCAGCTGCTCGGCCATGGAAGCCCATTCCTTGTGCTGGAGTTAATGCCAGAAGAAGTTTGGATCTCTGCAGTTATTGAGTCAACAGAGTGTTGGCGACTTTTATGCACTATGTACCTCAGCACTGGGCGACCACGCCGTTACTTTACGTGGTCTGCTACTTCGTGGCTGAGTTTCTGTTGTTCTTAAACGCTTCCACTTTGAAATAATACCACTTACAGTTGACCATTGAATATCTAGCAAGGAAGAAACTGATTTATTGCAATGGTGGCATCCTATGACAGTACCACGCTTCAATTCACTGAGCTCTTCAGAATGACCCATTCTTTCACAAATGTTTGTAAACCTGACTGCATGGATAGGTGCTTAATTTTATACACCTGTGGCAATTGGTCTAAATGAAACACCTGAATTCAATAACAGAGGTGTGTCCCATTACTTTTGTCCATATATTATATAAACAAGGCCGTGCTGATTGTCGGGGTAGATGCAGGAAGTTGTGGGAAAATGAAAAAGTCACAAACAGACCTTGCAGAGTTCAACAGACTGTGGTGACAGCAGTCTGTGGTGCTGTCAGTCAGACAGTGAAACTTAGTGAAACTAAGAAAAGTGTTTAAATCAACAGTTTAGTTTTAATCCTAGAGGTGACTGTGCTGCTCATTTCCCTGCAGCAATAGGATTTCACGCCTAGGTGGGGCTTGGAGCGTGAGATGTGTGTGCTGGCACAGGTCAGGATCGTCCTGACATATTACCACCCTGCTCACCTCTCAGCATCCCTCTGTAATCTGAGACGGGGCACAACATGCAGACGGTCTATGGGGATCTTTATTTTGCCAGTGACTTTGCTCCCCTCTCCACCCAGATGTTTTACAGCTATCTGTTATGCTGCAGTGTATCTATATCTGCAGTGTATGTTGCAGTGTATGAAATCTTATTTGTAATCGCACTGCAGATTAGAAATCTTTGAATCTTCACCTGTGTTAATTAAGCAACTCACTTTTTTTTTTTCCTCTGGAGGGTTCAACTAAAGTTCTCACTGTTGAAACTGTGACCCCCCCCCCCCAGCATGTTGTGGTCTCCCACCAACTCCCTGCCTGCCCATTACCGTCCTGCTTCTCAATGACATCAAGGTGAAGGCACAGAGTTGAGACTTCACAGGTACTGATTATTTAATGGTGTCCTTAAAGTAACTTACACACAGCTAATTTTTTTGCACATTTCAAGACTCGGGAAGAAAAACAAACTAACGTACACGGGCATGGAAGATGCCCCCATCTGAGCTGCAGACACTGACACGTTTAGAATGACAAGAGGTGCTGTACATGCCTTACTGCGTGGCAAACCATCGCACGCGAGGATGACATATGGCAAAGGAGAAAATATAATGAATAAATAACAAACAATTTATTTCATAATATATTTCAAAACAGTGTCTCTAAAAACATAAGGCAGAACTTCACTAAGTGAAATAAGGAGGGGACTGAGCACATCCACGTTAATGTTTCGCTGGACTCGAGTATGGCGGGGTGCATATAATATATATATATT